TGCTTGTCCTCTACTCTCCGTGGTTCTCATTCATCTCTCCGTGCATCGAGTCATTCTCTTTCTTCTCCTTATGCTGGCCTTCCTTCCTATCCACTTTTCCGGTCCTCTTCTCCTCCTCCTCCTCCTCCTCCTCCTCCTCTTCCTGACGCTTGTCCCCATGCATAATGTCCTTATAATGCATCGACTTTTCGGCTTGTCTTCTCATTCTCCTCGCCATCCTCCTCCTCCTCCTCCTCCTCCTCGTTCTCCATGTCCTTGTTGCCAACATCATTCGTCAAGTTGGTCATTGTCCCTGTCCCAGGAGGAGCTCATTCCTATCGACTTTTCGGTTCCTCTTCTCATACACCCCCCACCCCCCTCCTCCTCCTCCTCCTCCTCCTCGTTCCCCGTGGGTCTCATTCATCTCCCCGTCCGTAGAGTCATTTTGGTTCTCGTCCTTTTTGCAATTCTCGTGCTCGTCTCTGCCCTTGTTGTCATTCTCATTCTTGTCCTTGCTGCAGCCGTCCTCCTCCTCATCCCCGACCTTGCCCTTTTTTTTTTTTTTTTTTTTTTTTTTTTTTTTTTTTTTGGTGGAGGTGTCTCATTCTCGCCGTCGTGGTTATTCACCTTAGTTCTCGTTCTCGCTCTTGTCCTAGTCCTGGTCTGCATCGGGACTCACCGCACTACGCCCGGGATGTGCAAAATGGAGCATGCCATGCATCTTCTGCAAAAACATAGAAAGATACATGCGCACTTGCTCTTCGTCTGTTTCACATCCCCTGAGTGGTGCGGCGATGTTCACTTGCTCTTTGTCGGTTTCTCGTCCTTGTAACATTTTTTTTGTCCTTGTAACATTTCCATTTGCATCCCTATCCCTGTTGTCATTCTCATTCTTATCCTCTTGTAACATTTGCATTTGCGTCCCTATCCCTGTTGTCATTCTCATTCTTATCCTTGTTGGCGATCTTGCCCTTGTTCGCATTTTGGAGTCTTGTGTCTGTTGTTGCTCTCCTTCTGGCTCTTGTTCTAGGGCCTCGCTCCACTACACGACACTCTACATGCATCTGGACGCTTTCTCGACCAGGTGCATTAGGACGAGTCCAACATTTTGAAGAAAAAAGCGTTCAAAATTCTCCAATTGCCTGTAGAGTGTTCTATCCGGTCAAAAATGCCGTCCGAAATGCCTGTCGGGTGTTGTATCGGGTCTAGAAAGCATCCAGATGCATGAATCCAGAGTGTCGTTGGCATGTTCAGTCTCGCGTTTGTTGTTGTTCTCCTTCGGGCTCTTGTTCTAGGGGGCCTCGCGCCACTACACAACACTCTACATGCATTTGGACGCTTTCTCAGCCAGGTGCATTTGGACGAGGCCAACATTTTGAATGTCTTGGGTCCAGAAAGCGTCCAAAAATGCATGTACAGTGTTGTGTTGTGGATAAAGGCCCCTAGTCCCCTGGTCTTCTTCATACGCCTTGCCGGGCTTGTTCTTGTGGCCACCTCGCTCAAGGGAGAGGCTACTAGGGCAGCTGTGCGCATTATTAGTGTTTCGTCGCCGTTGCCCTTTACATTGCACAATGTTCCCTTCATTATGGTTGGCGATGCATTTGGACGCTTTCTCAGCCAGGGGCATTTGGACGAGGCCCACATTTTGAATGTATTGGGTCCAGAAAGCATCCAAATGCATGTAGAGTCCCCTAGTCCTGGTCTTCTTCATACTCCTTGCCGGGCTTGTTCTTGGGTCCAGAAAGCGTCCAAATGCATGTAGAGTCCCCTAGTCCTGGTCTTCTTCATACTCCTTGCCGGGCTTGTTCTTGTGGCCTCCTCGCTCAAGGGAGAGGCTACTAGGGCCGCTTTGCGCGTTATTAGTGTTTCGTCGCCGTTGCCCTTCACATTGCACAATGTTCCCTTTATTATGCCCGGAGACAAAGCAAAGAAAAGAAAAGAAAAAGGAGAAACCCGCTCATGTAAGGGCAATGGTGCAAAAAAAGAAAAAAAAAGAAAAAAAAGGAGAAATCTGCTGACGAGACGTGCAGCAGGAGCACGGTCCCGTTAGAAGTCGGGGGCAAGGTCCCACTTGCACGGATTAGGAGATTGCGGCCGTTGATCTTCGCTATCCACGGTCAATATCGCGTAATTCGTGCAAGTGGGACCTTGCCCTGGATAGGAGTGTGGCCTATCCAGTGTGACACTGAGTGGCAGCGGCCTGACAGGTTCATCACCTTTTTATTTTTATTTTTTTTTTTTACCAATTTCTGGGCTGAGAAAACACGAGAAACGCAAAAAAAAAAGAAAAAAAGAAGAAGAAACAGAGACCTCCCACTGGAAATCACGGCCGCAGAGTGCTTCCCCACCATCAGATCACAAATGATCTGATGGTGGTGATTGCAAAAACAGTGAACAAAGTAACCGCCACATTTTTTTGGAATAAATGCGACGTCTGTCAGCAGTGATCCTGACACCCTCTCTCTCTCTCTCTCTCTCTCTCTCTCTATATATATATATATATATATATACGATATATATATATATATATATATATCGTCAAATAGAACTGCCCGGTAAACCGTAGGCAGAGAGGGAGAAGAGGACAACAAACGAGGGGCTATATATATATATATATATATTATATATATATATCGTCACTCCGTGATTGAAGGAGGGGGGATCCACCCACCCAATGAGATAATTGCACAAGGGCAAGTAAAATACTGAAAATCTTCTATCCAGTGGGCCTATGGCCGACCCCACCGTCTTTTGGGGTTGGCCACAGCCGGCCCCCAACCGATTGAAAAGATTCTGGCGGGAAGCTTTCTTTGCACGGGCATGCCCAGTGTTAAGGAGAGGAGGAGGGGAACAAAGATCTCCTTACCTTACTTTTACGGGTAATAAAATATTTTTTAAAATACTGACGGTGGGATCACGAGTAGTGCACGGCAGGATTTGGGTCACTCAACCGTCCCACAAACTCGTTTCTATCCAATCCCGTTGCTCCAGATGTGCAGCAGACAGATGTTCCCTTCATGCAGTCGCGTGCGAGGAGTGAAAAGGATCCAACACACAAAAAAAAAAAGGGTGTGTGGAAATGGTTGTCTTCGCTTTTTGTGATCCCGCGACTCCCATTAACTTTGTATTCACTGTGAGAGTTTTCTCAACTGAATCCGGTCCTTTTTCCAACCAGCTGCATTCAGGGCATCCTCACAAACAAACAAACAAACAAACAAACAAACAAACAAAAAAAAAAAGAAAAAAAAAAGAGAGACTTTCCAGGATGTATCTGACTGCTTTTAGGGCCGGTCCTGGATGCATCTGACTGCATTTACGTCCAGAGCTCAGCGGAAGAAGTACAAGTGTGAGTATGCGCTGAGGAGTTGGGACAGTACATGCGAGTCTGCCTCGCTTTTGGGTCCGGCTCAGTCCCGCTGCCAACCATATGCTGCAGGGAATGTAAGGACCCACTGACGACTGACGTGGATTTGCAGTTTCGTTTCTTTGTTCCTTCTTTCGTTCTATTTTTTTAACAATACACACAGCCACTCTCCAATTTCTTTTTCTTTTTTTTTCCTTTTTTTTTAATTGAATTCCAATACGCGCACTCAGTGGATTTCCCATTTGTGGCTGTTGAGCTCTGCATTGTCTATGGCCACAAATGAAAGATTTGTGTCAGGGGAACCTTGCTTGCGAGGGCATTCGGAAGGGGTAGGAGGGGCGAGGAGGGGGGGAGGGGCATGTGGGTTGAGTGACGGTGGGGACCACCGGTCTGGGGGAGGGGTGCATTACCTAATCAGCATAATATTCAAAGCAGGTGGGGTTATTGGAAGTAGTTAGACCGCCAGGAGTTGTGCAAGGCTTTTTTTTTTTTTGCCGGAGCAGCACTCTTCTCCAGGGCTGGAACATCAGCTTGCGCGACAAAAGCAAATGAACCGGCGCTGGCGTCCTTTTGCCTGGTGCCGCCTGTTGTTTTGCCTCCGGCGGCCGAGCCCCAAAAGTTGCGGCAATGCTCGAGCTCCAACGGTGAAAAAATGGATGGGAAATGTACCGGTGGTTTAAAGTTTGAAACAACGTTTAAACCAAGGTTCAAAGTTGGCAGCCAAAAAAAAAAAAAAAAAAAAAAAAACAGTTGCACTGGGGCTTTGGCAAAGCGTGACGAGAAGTTATTTTATGCCTCCGAGTCGGCAAAAAGAGGCTTGGAGGGGGGGGGTGCATTAGACCACCAGTACGTTTCCCAGCCATTTCGTAAGAACACGCCCTGCATGCTCGCGCATTGGGCAGAGCGCACCTGGGTGCCATTTCGCTCCAAATTCATCCAGGCAAAACGGGTTGCATACGAGAGGCCCATTTA